TGACCCAAAGGTAAAAATGCATGTATTCCTGTAAATGAATTGATCTTGAGTTCCTTAAGCAAGTTTGCGGGGCCTTATAAGTTTGAGGCTCGAATCAGTAAAGTGGCTTACCGTCTCCAACTTCCTCGAGAGATGGGGAAGATGCACCCCGTGTTCCACGTGAACTTACTCAAGGTGTATTTTGAGGATCCGCTTCGCAAGGACCAAGTAAAACTTTTACCTAAGGTTATCCAAGGGGAAGAGGAATACAAAGTCGAGGCCATTCTCAATGCGCACAAAAGCAAGCGACAAGGACGCGAGGTGAGAGAGTTCCATGTGAAGTGGAAAGGATTTCCACACTGCGAAGCAACATGGGAACCAGAGGAGAATCTAGCAAACGTGTAAGATCTAGTGGAGGAATTTCTGCAAGGCAGAACTCTATGTACTTATGCAAAGTTCAATTAAAGTATGAATTTGTGAAGTTGAGAAATGGCATATGTTGGGATCTGAAGGCGCGCCGAAGGTAAGCTAATTAGCATGGGTTAGCTAGGTCGACCAGGCGTAGGGAACTACACCCGACTCCCTGCGGGGATGTTGAATCTGTAGACATATTCTATGGAGGTAGGGTTCGAGTCCCAACCCCCTAGTAAAGCAAGGCTAGGTTCAAGTCCCGACCCCATACTAGGGCGTGGTGAGGTGAGGAGTATAGGGACACCTATAGTCCGTATGGGCTCTTGGCTAGGGAGGCTAACTTAGGCATACCACTAAGTGGGGGGATGCCCCCGGAGACATGGTCAAAAAGTCGTAGGATAAAAAAGAAAAAGAGACGTTCGATGTGGGCATCGAATTTCTTCTATGGGTGGTGGAGTTGTAAGGAACCAACTCGCCAAGGTGTCGTAGGCTAAAGGATCCCCGAAAGCATGACTAAAATGACAAAGAGTTCATCGGATAGGACCGAGTCAAAGATCGAGTCCAAGACTAACTCTGAGACCGAGTTTGAGATAGTGTCCGGGATCGAGTCCGAGGCCTAATCGGAGACCGAGTTTGAGACCGAGTTCAAGATAGAGGCCTAATCAGAGACCGAGTTTGAGACCGAGTTCGAGATAGAGTTCGAGATCCAAATCAGGTCCGAGACCGAGTCCGAGGTCAAGTCCGAAGTCGGGTCCGAGATCGAGTCCGAGACCGAGTCCGAGACCGAGTCCGAGACCGAGTCCGAGTACTAATACACATACTAATACGGGTCAAGGTGAAGCCCAAAGCGTGGTACCAGCTAGTTTCGCCTCTTCCTTGTTTTTTT